GACAGAGAGGATGTCAGGGTGTGTGTGTGTCTCTGCTTGGGCCGCTGACCAAGCAGCCGCAGCCCGAGAAGACAATCTTTTAGATAACCAACAATAAACTGCCTTGAGACTGAACAGCAAGAGCCTGCGCAGTTTTTCTTTGGAAGCATGGGTTGGAGGAGAGACTTTACCACCACACGAGACCCCTGACCAAGCCCAGGGTTTTCACAGTCTTTGACACCTGTTGGAAAACTAGGGAACACAGGACCCACATTTCTCCTTTATCTGGGGAGTATCTTTTTGACTTTTCTGGGTGCTTCAGGGGTATTCCTCCAAAAATACATGTGCATTGAGGGTTAGCAGGAGACATAAAAGCCAGTGAGCCATCTGCTCTTTTCCAAGCTTCATTCCCACCTGGACAAAAGTTCATTGCTGTTCTTGTGTCCTCACTGGGCTCCTTCCATTTGAGTCATTGAATTCACACACATCTCAGGATGCATGCAAAGGTAGTCTCTTTTTCTTCCAAACCTCCACCTTCTACTTGCTCCAACAAGAATTCTGAGTCCCACCAGCCCCATCCTATGGTCATGCTTTCTAGAAGTCCTCACTTAGGAATCTAAAGTAGCAACTCAGAAATTAGCATTTTGAAAAGACCTAATGAGTTGCTTTGGAGACCAGCAAGCACAACAGATCTCTACAGAGCTGGCCATGCCACCTCTAACTCCCTCTCTCTCTCTCTTTGTGTGCTCAAGTGCTAGTCTAGTCACCATATACCACCCAACAGCTTCCTCTGAAATATGTGTGCTCACCACTTGTGAAAGGCTGGCAAATACAGGTAAGTGTTTTGAGGCATGACCTGATGTATGGCTCGAAGGAATGTTGGTTTAAAAGGGGTGTGCATCTACCCCTGCCCCTACATTCTGGCAGCCTGACATACATGGTTTAATGCATGGTTTGGCCCTTGTCTTGCATCCAGCACAAACAGGGCCATATGAGATCAATAATACTGGGAAAAGTCTGAATTAGATGGAATGCAAGTGCTTGACTGCTAATTATCCATATGACCTTGAAGCCTTGGACAGCCAGGGGTCTACTACAGGATAAACTACAAGATGATAGATACAGACACTTAGGCTCTGAAGACAAGGACTAATAAATAAGATCCAGTCAGCCTTTCTCTGGTTAAGACATTTCTATCTCCTGTATATGTTTGCCCAAAGCTGCAGATCTTACCTTAGCAAAGTAACAAAAAACATCCAGGAAAAAAAGAAATCACATTAGGGATAGTACTTTGTATATCATAAGCAATGGATGATGCAGGTCTAAACACAGTGGGGGATAAAGAGAATGCTTTTCATCCTCCAGCTACTTTCACACCACTCCACTGCATCACCAGGAGTGCAGCCACAAAGTTTGCCTCTACAGACCTTCAGGGCCTGTTCTGCTTGGAGAACTGTAATTCCCTCTCTCTGAATTCCTGCACTGTGTATGTTTTTCACCAAAAATTTAGTCATCTCCTCTGGGAAAACAAAACAGGTCAACAGCTTTCCTAGTCATGAGAAGATGAGCTCAAATGTGACTTTGGGTGGCTGCACTGAGACACTTGGAAACATCCCGTGCTCAGCTGGTAAAAGGTAACATCCAGTGGAACATCACCCATGACCCAAGGTGGAATTGTACAGCACCTGTTCAAAACAAAACTGGAAAGCAAAGAACAGGGTGACAAAGAAAAGTGAGAGATGGAAGAAAACACCAAATCTGAAGTCAACATCAAAATCTAACCAAATGGAAATCTCCAGACAGAAACATTGAAGTCCAGAATGAAGGAAGAATGAACCAAAAAAGCTTCAGGATGAAGTTCTCAACTCAGAACAGAATAAAATTAGTTGGGGAACAAAAAAAAGAGACGAAAAGCAACTCAAGTAATGCTAGGGAAAGTTTGGAAAAAGACATGTTCTCACCAGAGAAATATATTTTTTTAATATTTTATTTTACAGAAGTATTTACTTTGAAGAGTATTGACTTTTTTATGAAAGTCAATATTGTCTAACAAAAAAGAGACTAAACTCTGATTATAAAATCACATTTGCCTTCATGCCTGCAGTCAGGTCCCAAAATTCAGACACTGATACATTTCCAAACTGCAGAATTTCTAAGCCAATCTAAGGCTGTTTGTTTGCTGGCTGGAGTATAAATCTATGAACCAAGATTTCCATCCTGTTTGGTTTTGATTTCAACATCCTATCTGGAACATTCAGCTCATGTTTTCATGTTTTTTAAGCAACCATGAGAGATTTTTATTTTTTTTTTAATTAGAAAATGGAATTTCTTATGCAATGTCTTTCTTCCAGCAGCTTTTAAGGAAAAAAAAAAAAATACAACATCCGGAGACTGCTGAGAAAGCCATAAGGTTTAGTAACCACTGCAGCATGCCATAAAAAATTATTTTCATTTCCCCTCCACACAAAACTCACTTATTTCTGTCATTCAGTCTCTATTCCAAAAGTTTTATTGCAGTATTTGCTGAACCAGTGTACTACAATGAACTATTTTTAACTTCTTTAAAGAATTTCCATTAAAGCATGACTTGGATAGCTCAACAAGGATGTATCATTGATACTACACCTGCCATAGACAAACAAACAAATATCTGTACTTGTATGGATCAAGACATTGTTTTATAGAGAAGCAGTGCTCCCAAGAACAGGCACAAAGTCACATGGGGCCCATGAGTGCCAGATTTTAGGTTCACATCTCAAAGGAAACTTGAAGCAGTGGAAAATCACAGGTAGCCATAAATGCCCTCAATGATTTCATCAACAGTTTAGAAGAGCCCTCTGCTGTGTTTGTTCTGGCTAATACACAAAATATTTAATCCCTCATCAAAACGCAAGTGTTGAAGCATGTAAATAAATGACGAAGCAAGTTCTCCCACTTAGGAGAGCTTTGGCTTTTTTTGCCCATAGGTATTCTTACACAGATGCATGCCAGCATATGCTGGTCTTCCAACATACATCCCTAACTTGAAACATTTCCCCTTGTCTCCCCTGGACAGCAAACTCCAACCAGAGTCAGAAGGAAGCCACACTGGACTGAAAAGTGCCAGAGCTGTGTCTTTGGTTTCCTGGAGAAAAAATTGTTCTCCTGGGAACTGCTTGGATTTTGAAGGACTTTTTTCTCTTCCCTGTCATGATGTGACTCAGTTTCCAACAGACAGTGCACACAACCTTTGTGGATCCATGACAGGAAAGAGTCTAGGCCTAAGATGAGGAGAATTGCCAGGCAGATCTCTAGAGATGTCCTTCCACCCTTCTGTCTGTGTGCTACAGAAACCTTTGCTGAGGATGTCCTGTGACAGACTATCTGAGGACAGGGACAGGAATTATGCCATTTTTTAATGCTGCTTTTTAAGTACCTCCAAGAAAGGACAATAATTTCTTGCCCAAGTAATTTGGTCTACTGCTTTGCTATCCTCATCCTTGGAAACACTTTTCTGCTTACAAACTCGGATGTCCCTTGCTGTGGTCTAATAGTAATACAAGTAGCAGGAACACAGAGAACACATTACTCTGCCACAGCTAACCTCACATCAATCACACCAGCCCCTAAAAAGGGAGCATAGTCATTTTTCCAAACTCACTGTAGTATTCTGACTACTAATTTTTCACCCATTATTAATTAATTAATCATTATTCAATTATACCGATCATGTTTCAACTATACCAATTATCTTTTCCTCCAAGTGGGAAAGACTTGTCTCCTCAGCAATGTAGGGATGTGGGAGGTTGAAAAATGTGTGTGAAAGTGCCAGGTAAGAGCAGGAAAGAAACCAGGCATTGGAAGGCAGGAGAATAGATGGAAAAGGTCAGAATTACATAGTCTGGGGGAGTAAATGCTTCAACCCTGTAATCAACCAGAAAAAGCCATATCACTGGTGATTAAAAACTCAAATTAGTACCAAACTAAACCTACTGCATGTGTCAACACTCTTTCTAAAAACTCAAGTGCCACATTCTTCTCTGTAGGTCAACTAGCAGCAAGGGCATGGCTGCAGGCAGACCCTCTCCAGCTCTGCCATTCTATGAAGACTGCTCAAAACCACCAGAGTGAGGGAAAAATGCATCACTGTCACCACATTTCCACCTGCTCACTGTGTTTTCTGTCATTAGCCAGCCTCAATATTCCCATACTCAATGTTCTCCCATTCCTAAGAAACCTGCAATGAAAGAGCAAAACCCATCCAAACACTAAAATAGTATTTTTTAAAGCCAGAGCAAGCACCACAGAGGCCAGCCCTTAGACTGAGGATTATATTTTTTTTTTTTTTTTTTTTTTTTTTTTTTTTTTTTTTTTTTTTTTTTTTTTGCCGTGTTAGACTGTTTTCTCACCACAGGACTGGTATGAGGAATGGGAGCTCCCTGGTGGCAAAATGTGAATTTGGAGAGATGGGACTTTCAGTGGCCCCATGGTTTTCCCTGCTCACATGGAACTAACCCTCGGGATAACAGGAACACAGTCCTATGCTGCCCCCTCCCAGTGCACTGAGACCAGTCAGAACTGAACACAATGGTGTCTAGTGCATGGATGCCTGTTTCAGAGCCCAGCACAACTCCCAGCTCCTCCTCACAGACCTGGCATCCCTTTCTCCAGCCCAGGCATGCAAGCTGTGCTGGGACACACATTCACAGGCCAGGAGGTACCTGTGTTTGGTTTATGACAAAATCAACAGCAACCAGATTACTGTCACCCATCCAGGTTTCATGACACCCTAAACCAGAAGCAAGACCCAGACAAAATCCATTGGAATTTGGGTGAAAAAGAGCTTGGAGTGCCATGATTTTCACAAAACAAGAGGCCTCCACTTTTTTCTACCTGATTTTTAGCACTGCCTTCTTAGGCAACTGTCCCAATCAAGTGTCCAGCAGCCCTTAAACAGTTTGGGTCTCAGGGGATCTGGAAGAACCAAACCACTCCATCTCACACAGACAGCTCACATACAGGGTTTGCTCCTTAACACCCACCTTGACATCTGGTTGTGAGCTGGGTGCCACCACTGCTCTGTGCCTGAAGATCAGCAGACCCACAATCTGGACACTCCTGGCATATCTAGTGCCTCCAAGGGACCTGGAAAAGAGAGACAACAGTGACATATCACCAATCCTTTCTGGCTGGTGCTCTGCCCTGCAGCCCCAGCATGCAAATGAATGATGTTCATGCAACCTTAGACAGCTCTTTATACCCCCAGCCCAGGGCAGAGGTCTCCTGCCCAGCTGCACTCCAGCAGGTGGAGCAAATGCCAGGAGTCTTCAGGGATTCAGGTGGTGATGAGCCAAAACCAGAAAGGATGAAATCCACAGAAGGTTATCAAAAATAGAGGCACAATGCCAAACTCAGGACGTTCCTGCCTGCACATGGGAGGCTGGCAGACCATCTAGATGATCTCCTGCTGCCAGCTGGCTGCCTTTGTCTATCTTCCCCAGGTATCTCCTGCCAGGAAGAGGACACCAGGCTAGACAGACCTCTGATCCAACCCAGGACAGCTCTAATGGGAGCAGAGCTGTCACATCTCAAGTTGTAGCAGCCTGCCCTTCGACACTGCCCTCTGCAGATTCTTCCCAGACTGAGAAATCGCACCATGATCTAGGAATGACTCAGAGCTGGACAGGTTTGTCTCTGTAAGAAATAGTCACAGCAGCTGGGGATAAACAAGAACATCAGACAGGTGGGCAAAGCCACAGAGAGACACAAGCCTCAGAAGAGGGGAAAACAAAAAGAAGGCAAAAAAAAAATAGTTGGAAACTGCTAGTTTGCATCTGGCTGAGACAGTCAGGACTGCTCTCTGTTTCAAGCCACCAGATGGTGCCGTGCCTTCAGCCACCAGCCCGCAGCTGCTCCGGGACAGCAGCGCTCGCTCCGCTCAGCGGGGTCCGATGGGCGCTGCCCTCAAGCTGCCGGGGGCAGGGACAGCCTCGCTCTGCCAGGCCTCCCCAGCCCGACATCTCCCAGCGGCAGGGCCACTTCCACTTTGAAGTGGCGGGGCTAATGCTGAATTGGGCCTGAGACAGTCAGGATCCGGGAGAGGAGGGGAAATGTGCCTGGAAGCCCATGGAGGTGGAGAGACGTTTGGGAGTACCTTTTTGAGCACTGCAAGAGCAAAGCATCATATGTTGGGAGAAAGATTTCTGTGATGGGCAATCTGGCAGGGAAGCACTGGCCAGGAGTTGTGTTTTGGTTACATTCAAGTGTTTTTGATCCAGCAGAAGTGTCAGAGCACTAGGGAAGGGTGACACGGTAGCCTGCTCAGGGAAGAAGTTGCTCTGAGGGGCCAGATTCAGCCTATACACCAATGACTGGCAAGCTGTGCTTCCTGGCTCCCTTCAGAAGTGCTGCTGTAACCATGCTCCTTCCTCACACCTACATGCAGCTTGTTGGGTGACCACCCATCCAGAGATGTGAGCTGTGCTGTTGGGAAGGATGGATATCCCAACACTGTGCCACTTAGGCAATGCAAAGGCTCAGAAGGAGACTGCTGCTTGCTGAAGACTGGGAATACACAGGTTCACCCAGCTGGTCCATGCCCCCACAGCAGCCAGCATTTCTACACTCTGTGTCCCAGAAGAGAGCCAGCACACCAAGCACAGGCCACCAGTACAGATTCAGGCACACAGAACAGATCTAAAGAGGGTGGTGGGAAAGAAATGCTCTGCTCACACTACCCTGTTTTTCAGTGGAGACTTCCCACAGCCACTTCCCTGGACAAGACCAGCCACAGCAGGTATATATAGCTCACCATGACCCAGCCATCAACCCAGAGCTATAAATACAGCTAGAGCACAGATACAGCTATCAAGCCACTCTTGACTCCATTCATAATCTGCCCACATCCTGCAAGCCCACAACACAGATAGGAGAGAGGTAAAGGAAACTGTCAGATTCCCATCCACTGCACACTCATAGGAAACACAGAAAGACCCTCTTCTTTCCCAGTGTGTCCCTCTGCAATGTTCTCCTACTCCTCCACCTCACCTGGCACAGCCCAAGTGGCAGTAGTGGTTAGGAGTGTTATCCATCCATGTATGAGGCTCAGGTTCACCAGAAAGCAAAGCTCTTTTTGAGACTACCTGATGTATTAGAAGGCAAAAACACATATATGCTTGCTCTCCCCAGCACCAGCCATATCACTGCTGGCCCAGCCAGCTCCCATAGCATTGAGACCCATCCAGACGCAGGCTCTGGGCAGATTTGTCCTGCAGCCCATTCCAGTTGTGCTCCCCAGGCACTGCCAGTGCTGTGGCTTCTCTCCAGTGTCACAACAGCCATGGTTCCTATTGGGAAATGAGTGCTTACCTCTCCAGACCTACCTCTGCAACTCAGGCCTCCTGTAACCACTCTAAATTCTCAAAGCATTCCCCAGAAATCATAGTCAATACTCCTTAATTATCTTTTGACAGTTTTGAAGGGCTTTTCACTACCCTCCAGCAAATCTTCCACAGCTATAAGGCTGCTGTTGATGAGCATCCATCATGCTGACTAATATGTCTCATTGCTTCCTTTTTCATTACCCCATGTATTTCTTATGGTTAGATAGTAAGCAGATTAGGGGTGGGGATTTTCCAGTCTATGCCTGTACATCACCTTGCCGTATACATAGGGTAGGGCTAATTCACCTCTCATCTAATCTTACCCACAGAAGCCCTCCATAAAATGAACTCCCAATTTAAACAAGAGCCAAGCTCCCCCCATTTCAGAGTGCCAAACCCAGACAGGTTCAGTAAATGGCCATAGCCCTGACAGACACAGACAGGCCTGCAGTTCCCAAGCGAAAACAAGTGGCCATCCTGCATGAGCAACACACATCCAAAAGGCTTCATTATTGTGATGCAGCTGAGCACAAACCCTGTTATAAGAAAACTAAACTGCTGCAACAGCCTTCTGTCCGGGTTACAGAGTGTGAGGAGTGGGGCTTTACTAATTCAGGAGATAAAATAATTATTAATGCCATTGCAGATAGCAATTACTAATGGCATCAGCAGCAACCGCCTCCACACCTGGAACAAAGCCCACATGAGCCACAAATGCTTATTCTCCAAGAAATCCCTGCAGTCATGCCGCATTCAGTGTAGCAGCACGATCTTCTTACATGCATAGAGCAGAGATGGCCCGAAGGGTCGGGTGTTACCCGGTAAAGGCAGAGAAGGATTCATCACAAATTTCCTGCCGGAGGCTGTGGGAGCCATGCAGCCTCTCTGGGCTCAGCCCTCCCCGTCTGTAAGAGGTGCTGCACACACAGCCCTGTCTCACGCAAAAGCTCCAGAGCACAATCATAGGGAACACTGCAAAGCATTCGGGTTATGCAGGCAGAGATGTTGCTTAAAGCTTTACCCACTTGTTCAAGGCCTCGCTGTACTCAACATGAGCCTCCCTTCTCAGACTGACAGGGATTTAAAATTTAATTTCTGTGTATGCAAGGGAAACATATCATTTTACGTTTTGTACATTTTTTGAGGATTTATACAAGAGCTGAGCAGTGGCCAGCTTTAAGCTGATTCTGGAGCAAGATGTATATCATTCTCACCATAAAAAGTATTTCAGACTTTAGTGGCAACAAAACCAAAGGGGAAAGAAAAAAAAAAAAAAAAAAAGGCAGGTAGGAGAGTAGCTTGATGACATTCTTGCTTACTTAAATTATCATGAAGCTGTTCCACTGCTGAGCTGCGTTCTTGTGTTATTTCCTCCTTTGTCTTTCTAGTGGAGAAAATGCCCCGGGGGTGACGCTGTTGAGGCAGGATGGTATGAAAGAACTCTGATTCAGAAGGTTTGAGAATGGAACTCTGATTTATTTCAAATATACTGCTCTCCTATAGAGAGTATTGTCCAGACCAATTCTATTGGTCCCAAAGTAAAACCATCTCAACCATTGGTGTGCAGTGAATGATGCAGAGTGGCAGAACTTATCTATAAACAGTGTGAACAACAAGAGAGATAAAGAATTATTTACATTCTTTCTCAACTGTTTTCCAGGCATCTGCCTGGTTAGAAACTCTCCATTTTCTCTCTGATTGAACTAAGAATATCCACAGCCAGCGTAATGAAGCACTGAGCTAACTTCCCCATCCCACTCAGTCCAGACCAATTCTGATGATGCTAATAAAATTCACCCAGTTTTACAACAGCAAGCAGGGTCAAATTTTAGTCTGGTTGCTTATGGCCTGCAGTTCTTACCATGTAGAAGTTACAAGGACTACAACCTGCAGCAATTGTGGAAGTCGACAGCAAATTAAAGGGAATATGAGTTCTGGCATTCATCTATAGCAATTTAGGAACAGCCTTTTCATTACTGTAAAAATAGCAAGTATTGATAAGCAACATGTAGTTCTGATCTGCACTAAATCTCAAATTGCAATACAGAAAAAGCAGGAACAAAGTTAACACTTCAAAAACAGGAAACTATTGCAAAGGGGGAAAGCAGCTTGTCCAGACACACGCCATGGACTAAGATAGGGCTTTGGACCAAATTCCAGGCTCTGGTTCCTGCATCCCGTCTGCTGCACCACCTCCTCAGAAAAGGGATGGAGCATCACAGCAGTTTCAGGAAATCACCCTTAGATTCTCCTGTCCCCAGATTTCCCTTTAATTTTTTACTCCAGCGCACCTGCTAAACAGTATGTTTCAGCAATGCACAGCCATGGGCTCCTTATGGGTTTTTTTTTCTGCCAGTGAAATAGCTATGACTGTAAGGTTTATAGAGACTTTCTGTTCCTGTCTAAAATTATCTTTGCTGATCCTTGCGACGCCAAGACCACAGAGCCAATATTCCACAAGCCCTGAGAAAGAAGCACTGTATTTCAGGCACACTCAGCTAGTGTTGTTACAGCAGCATCTATCAGCCACGACCAGAGCTCTGGGTCACCACCGTGCACCAGGGGACACTACCTGTTCCTTTGGTGCATCAGACAGCGCAGAGTCAGGATCTGGGTGCTCTGTGGCTGTTCAGCCAAGCAGGAGCCTCTGTGATCCCTGCTCCAACTGTGAGATCAGGGCAAAAGTGGATGAAAAGACGGCAGGTGGATGCAGGCAGATGGGGGAAGCGGGGCTAAGAGGGAGACAACAGCAATTAGCATAAGCAGCGGCAGCCTCAGCTCACCAGCTGCTTTGCCGATTGTCTGCCTTCCCGATTTCCAACAGCAAAGCAGCAATTTGCCGACGAGCAGAGTCAGTAGCCAAGGCTGCCCCTCAGGACTGAAACTATCAGGGAAAATAAACGATTTCCATGGTACAAAACTATGGCTTGCAGGGCTTTGATGTAGGAGTTTGCCTAAGTAAGGCATGGAGCATGCAGCTCAAAACAGACACCAAATACTTCAGAGCGAAAGGCTAAAAAAGGAAGGTTTTAGAGGAGGAAATGAGTCAGTAGTTTGGAGGACTGGAGGGGGAGTTCAAATAGCTGAGGCATATAAAGTAAGCAAGCATCTCAAAAGCTACAAAGTCAGCAAAGTGGATGTATTGATCTCAGGTTTCTGTTGATGTAGACCACGGGTGACTTTTTATATTGACCATACTGGATTTTGAAGCGAGCCTTCATTGGGCAGACATTTGCCAGCTGCAGTTCACAGCTGTTTCTGACAGGAGCCTAAGTGGTCACCACCAGCTACAGGATTGCTGGAATCTATCAGTCTCCCCTGGTTAAAGGATGGATTTTTTTGGGGGCCGTGTGTGGGGGGGAAGTTTCAGGCTGATTGCAAATACCATTTGCCTGAAGAGCAGGAGGGGGAATTCACCTTTCATGATGGTTCATCCAAATGTACAGCCTCAGCTTCCAGCCTAGCTTATTTATAGCACTAACACTGTGAGAAAGAAAAAAAAGGGAAAAGCTAGTTCAGTGTTGAAAAGCAGAAAAGCTAGTAAAAAACCACATTCTTCTCCACAATGCAATTCCTGTCTGTCATTGTGACAATCTAGTATTGCACTGAGAGGCTGGGGACAAAGAGGTCTCACCCCAAGAAGGCTTTAGCCTCACTCACCACACAGCAAAGGGTGCAACAAGGTGTGCAACACACTAAGCCAGAGGTGTTGGTGTCAGAGTTGCAGTAATTTCCTCACCTCTGCCTGGTCCTTGACCCATCCAAAGGCTGGCACTGATAGAGAGGGGAACTCAGAAATAAAAACAAAATTTCCTCGTGCCCTCCCCAAACCAGGGAGTTCCCCCTGGGTTCAGGCTCCAAGGCAAGAGCTAGAACAGCTTTGACAGGACCCTGTTTTAAGTCCAGGCAGAGGGAACCCCAGCACTACAAATGGTCAGGGTGATGCTAAAGGCACATGAGGAGAGGGCTGTCAGGTCAGGGAGCAGCACAGGGCTGGAGAAGCAGGCTCCCTTCCCCTGCAGAACCAGCAGCACAGGATCGGCATGCAGCAGGGGTTCCCAGCGTGCCATACACACTGTTAACCCCAGCAGGCAGCCCTGGGGCAGGGCTGGAACTCCCAGTGCAGGAAGAGCAGGGCAAGGGCTGCGGAGCCCTGTGCTAAGGCAGGCTGGTACCACCATAACCACACGCTTGTCTGTGTATTTTGGTGCACAGACCCTGCCTCAAAGCACCACATCCGCGTTGTTTATCCTCACTGGGCTATGCTGTTTTGTCTTCTGGGGAATTAAACATTTCAAAAAGCCATTGTGGTTGGTGGTGAGTGAGTGCCCTTTCCAGAGCAGGCACATCTTTCTCATGAGGCAGCTTAAAAGCAAGAGTTTTCTCTTACTCTGCTGGTGAAGGAGTTGTTGTCTGTGCTGAATTTCCTCTAACCGGTTAGAAACTTTCTCAATCTACTGCAACATTTCCAAAACCACCTCTCAGAACAGACTGAGCCAAGAGGCCAGTTCCACCTCATTTGCCCTTATAAGTACACAGCATGAAATAGCCCCAGCGCTGTTCTCATGGCCTTGCGTCATCTCCTCCCCTCTTCCCCAGGATGTCTCACTTCTGTACTCTTCTCTCAGAGTGAAACCTATCTACAAAGAGCAAGCCAGGAACAGTAACAGACGAATTACCCACATCAATTACGACTAGAAAGCACAGCTGCCCCAGGTTTCTGCTACATACCACCAGAGATGGAGGTCTGCTGTGGCACTGCCACATGGTGCTGACCACCATTGCATTGATTTCCTCTCCAAGCCACAATCACAGCAGAGAGGCAGGACCAGAAGTTGTCCAGAGAAAATTGCTAACATGACTGAAGCTCTCCCTACTACACAGGCACTTTATTTGACTTGTTTTAGAACTACGGTTCAAAATGGAGAAAAAAAAAAACCAAACACGTCCCTGTTTATTTCTTGTTAATACTTCCAAAGTAAGTCAAGATTTGGGGTCAAATTTAAGCATTCCTTGATTAAATGTATCAGGGAAGAACTATCCACACAGGCCAGTTAAAGTCTGAGTCGTGCTGGTAGGCCTTTTTGCTAGTTTCATTACAAATCTGATGCAAGAGCTTTTGCAAAAAATGAACCGCTGGCAGGAGTAAGTCACGCAGCACAAGAGCCTAATGAAACAGGATGGTTTTTTCAATGCACCCATCTTCAGCATGGGGTATTTCAGTAACTTCTCTCTCATGTGAACACTTAAAAACAACTACAAGGAGCATCTGCTAGGGTACCCTCCAAAGAGGGGATAAATCAAATAAAAATTAACCCCCTCCCTTTAATTAGAATAGCAATATGGATGAGAACTGTAAGGTGTGGAAGTGTTGCTCACACCTTTAGTGAATAGTGAAGCTTCATGATTATATCTCAGCCCTCAAAATGCCGCCATCAAGCCTTAGTTTTGCTTCCTTCTTACAGGAAGGCACATACTCAACAAATAAGCTTTTGATGCTAGCGGCTTTTTGCTCATCGACTCAACACGGGAACATCACTGCAATCAGGATTCAGTGATAAAAACCTAACTTTCTATACATTTTGTACCATCAGCAGCTGCCTACATGCAGCCCGAGCCTCACTGGCCGGAAACATGAAGGAATGAGTGTTTTCGTCAGGGCGAGCAGGCCTGCCATGAACATGGAAGAGCAAATTCTCGGAGCGCCCGGCTCGGCAGCAGCGTTTTCTCAGGGCCGCCTTTGTTCCGAGGACAAGCCGCTCGTTGTTCCGGCACGGAGCAGCGCCGGGATCCGGGACCAGCGGCGGCCGGCGGGGAGCGCCGGGCAGTGCCGCAGCAGCCCGAGCCAATCAGCACCGCCCGCCTCAGATCGCACCAAAGTAGGTAGTGAAAAACCCTCGGAGGAAAAAAAAAAAAAAAAACCAAAAAAAAAACCACACTTCCGCCCGGCTGCCCGCCCCTCGCCGCTCCTGCCGCCTCCTCCTGCAGGCTTCCCCGCCCGCCCCAGGGCCACGGCCACCCCCTCGGCCGCTCCCCGCTCCCCTCACGCCGCCCCAGTCGCTTCCAGCCGCGCTCCCGGCAGCTCAAATCCCGCCCGTGCCCACCGTGCCCACCGCGCTCTCCCTCACGGCTCCCCAGCTCTGCCCTCAGGATCTTCCCCGCACCCCTCCCGGCACACCTTGGAGCAGGTAACCCCGCCCGCCCGCCTGAGCGCGCGCACCATTGGCCGGCTGGCACGTCAATCAGCCGGAGTAGCCCTGTGATTGGTTCACTCCGCAGGGGCGTGGTCCTGCATGTCGAGGGACTCCCGCTCCCCGCCCCGCTCGCGCGTGCGCGCGGAGCTGGGGCGCCGCCACGCGGGGCTCCCGCCATAGCAACCGCTTCCTCCTCCTCCCGGCACGGCGGCCGTGACGTCGGCAGCGCTTCCGCCCGGCTCGCGCCCTCGCAGCTTCCCTTCCTGCCGCCGGAGCCCGCGCCGCGCCCAGACTGCCGAGGGAGCCGCCGCCGCCGCACCGCGCTCCGCAGCCCGCCCGCCGCGCCCCGCCGACGCCATGGTAGGCACCGCGCGCCGCCGCAGGGGCCCTTGGCTTCTCCGTCTCCTGCCTCCGCCTTCATCCCTGGGGGGAAAAAGGGGGGAGGGGGGCAGCGGTACCGCCCGCCGCATCCCGGCCGGCGCTCTGGCTGGCGGCGCCGCTGTGCCTGGCAATATCGCGCCCCCTTTTTCTTCTCCTTCCCTTTCTCCCGGTCCTTCCCGTTCGCCTTTGAACTTGACGCGGCGGATTCGTTCTCCTCCTTTCCCCCCCGCCCCCATCCCGCCATGAGGCGACGGAAGGTTACTCCCACCCCGCCTTGAAGCGATGGAACTGTCCTCCTTGCCTCCCCCCGCCGTTAAGTAGTGGTACGCTCCGCGTCGCACACAGGCGCTGGGGGCGGGCGCGTCCATTGGGCCCTGGGAGGGGGGGTTGGTGAGGAGCGAGGGCGCGGCGGGAAAGGGCCGCGGCGGGGCGGGGGGGCTGTTGGCGGCACCTCCCGCCGCCGCAGGGCGCGGCCGGCAGGGGACGGGGGGCGGCGGCCCGGCCGCTCCCCGCGAGGGGCTGGCTGCGAGGGGGTCGCAGCCTCGCTGGAAGGCGCCGGGCGGGGCTGGTGGGAGCCCGCCCTTCCTCCGTGGCCGGGGGCTGCCCTGCTCGCGTGGAAGCGCGACCGCCGCCTCGGTCCCGGCGGGAGCCATCTTCCCACGGCCCGGGGGCGCGGGCCTGGCCTAGAAACCGGCGGCGGCTCCGGGGCCAGCACGGGCCCTCCCAGCGCCCCCCGCCGCCGGGCCCGGCCGGAGCCCGCAGCGCTGGTGGCGGACAAAAGGGGGAAGCGGAACTCGCGGAGGGGAATCGCTGATTGTAAAAAAACAGGGTGTCGCAGCGGCCGCTCGAGAAAGCTGAAATTTTGAGGTAGTTGCTGCAAGGACTTGAGGGTTTTTTTTCTGTTTTGCTTCTCCGCACAGTGCTGAAAACATTCATCTAAGGCATAACGCTGGAAGCAAAGGACCAAAAAAGTATTAAGCATTCGCACTGATTTGCTTGTGTTTCGTGGCTTTCAAAAAAAAAAAAAAGTGTTAGGGCTCTCCTTGGATAAGTGGGGCAGAATAGACCAAAAACATGATCAGTTTCATTCTATATGCTTTGCCCATGCTCGGAATTTGCATCCTCGTTTAAATCGGGAGACAGAGGTTGGCAAATTTGCCTCAATTATTAGCTCATGCAGTTTTAATTGCTGCCCTGTTTTTGCTTGAGTCATGCACAAGCACTTGTCCAGCAACACGCACTAGCCTGGGTTATTTACCTGTATTAGAGGTGTTAAATATTGAGGCCTTCCCTTAGTATTTACCGGTAGTTCATTGAACATGTGGTATATCTGGGAAATAAATTTTTGGTCCGTAGGGCTAGCAGACAGGATGTACTGCTAATGTCCCTGCTTTCTCCAACACCCAAGCTGGAGCATCTGTGGCTGGTCTGCAGCATGGAGCAGAGCTGATGGGAATTGCAGATGAAGCTGCTAAAAAGTCTGATGAGACTCACAGCTCTTGTTGAAAGGAGGCTTGTCTCAACAAGCCAGCTACCACCTCTGCAGTATGCAAACCTAGTTAAGTGTGACTACTCAGTGTGTCAGGCTTCATCTTGCTTTGGAACCAGGGAATTCCCAAGTCAGTCAAAACTACTATTTCTCATAGTGATCTCCTTTTTGCAACAGGGTTTAAGTTGGCTTTTTTGAGAGGCTGCAAATGAACTTGGTTTTAGGCAGAGTGGAGGCCTTCTGGCAAAGTACAGTAGTGCCAGCGGGAGGGCATCCTTTGGTATCAAAAGAGCTTGGATTTTCAGCTTTTGTGTCTTGCCACAATGTTCAGTTTCTTTGCTGCTGGATTAAATGAGTCCAAGGTCTTTGGAGTACCGTGCAAATGATTTTTCTTGGTTGTTAGTCAGTGCTATTCCCAGATCTGTGTAATTACAAGGTACATATGCCTCATATACAAGATAACAGCCTCATAACAATTGGTGCTGCTGATGTCTGGCATGTTCCTACTGGTCTTGGCAGAATCACTATCAAGACGCTCCTGCTGGGTGCAATGGCTGACCTAAGAAATCCCGTGTGAGAGAGCCTGAATACAACCAGGACTTGCTTGTGAAGCTGTTCTCAGCCCTTTCCTCACCTGGTTGTTCAGTATTCACAGCAGTCTCCTCAGGAGAGGAGGATCCCTCAGTAACAAATATCAGGGATGCCCAGAGCTGGATGCCCAGAGCCTGATTTTGAGGGTGACATTTAAGCTTTAGGTTGCTATAGGTGCCTAGAGGGCCACAAAAAAAAATCTTGTAGGCGTTTGGGCTCATAACAGCTGATTTGTGTGCTGAATGTGTTTCTGAGAAGTTTTGATTTTCTGCAAGAAATTCCTGTTACACACCAGCTTCCACCTGTATTACCTTAAAAACTTACATTTCAGCACAGGAATGGGTGCTGCTTAAAACTTCTGCCCTGCTACTAGTGGCCACTGCAGTTCCTGGGTTTTTGGTACTGTTGCTGGGATTGCCTTTTGTGGGTATTGCTTGTTCTGCCTACCTTGATAATTGAATTGTGAGTGAACTTCATGGTGGCTTAGAGAAGGGGATAATTTCCTCTTTGGCTGAAAGCTGAAGAAAACCTTCAGGAATTTTTTAATAATTGTTTTTCTACTCATCTCTCCTTGTCTTGTCAGTAACGTTTCTTACTGTCAGGGTGGAAAAAGTAAAAGCTGAATTGAGTTTTGGTTCTTTCCCTCACACCTTCCACCTGCCAAAAGAGACCAACTAATGCAAAATAAAAACTTGAGTCTAGCTAGCAAGATCTTTCTACAAGTGATACACAGATGTCTCTATACTTCTTGCTGGTTTATGGTGTGCAAATAATAGCCTCTTATACAACAGCAGTAAAAGGCTGTTAGTTCTGTTTCCTGTCAGCATTCAGATCCAAGTTGAAACCTTGACCTTTCAGATGTACAGGCTGTCCCCTGTAAATGGAGGTGGGTCTCTGTCCAGCTGTAGGTAAGCAGGGAATATGGGCTTTTCCAGACTCCTGAAGTCACTGGTGTTCCCACACTGTTGCTGGTCTCTGGGATGAAGTTAAAGTAGCTGCTCCTTGCATTTCCTCTTTGCGTTGCTGCCTTTCTTGCTCAGTAAAGTGGGAATGTTAACATCAGATGTGTTTTCCTGAGTGCTCACCAAGCAGTATTTAATATCTTTATCGTTTTGACCACCTACATTTTCAGTTGGCTTGTCGGCCTTAGGTGACACCTTTTCAGAGGCCCGATTTGGCAAAACTTTCAGCCAGGCTGTTGCTCTCCCTTTCTGCTAAGTGCTCCCACAACTACCTTGGCTTAGTTTTCCCCTCAAGTTGCTGGTGATGGCCCAGGACATTCCAGTGTGTGGCAGTGCAGGGGTCAGCTCTGTCCCTGAAGGGTGCTGTCCCAGACCAATTGGGTGGCAATAGGTTTAATTGAAAAAGTATTTATTGCAGGGATGTACTGTGACACATTAGTGAGTCAGAAGGAAATGCCACATGGCTCCACAGGCAGCTCTGGCAGTGGCAGGGAATTTCGGAGGTAGATAGGAGGGAGGGTAAGCCAGGCATGGGGGAAAAGGGTTTGCTGAAGAAACTAACAAACAAATACAGGCCAATAATGTGACCAGCAAACATGGGAGCACAGTGTTCTCAAATCTGCCCTTGCAGTTAAACAAGGCATGTTTTAATACATTCTTGGTGTCAGATCCTGGAAAAAATTGATGATGCTTTTCCAAGGAGCAAAAGTTTCCACTTGAGTAGCTGCGGATAGTTCACCCTGATGAGTACAATGTTTGTGCGTGGTTCCCAGATAAAACAAGTCAGGAACTGCATCTTGGAATGTCTCTGGAGATAATGCATGCATGGGCACCACTATGGAGAGTTCTTCGGCCCTAATCACAGGAGGGAAAACAGACAGTCTGCAATTCTCAAGACTTAAATTTAGTCCTTCGAATTTGTCTTGAGGCAAAAACTAAGTCATTAGTTTAAGGTCTTAGCTGTCTTAGAGTTGAGGAAAACAAAAACTCTTCTTAGGTAAATTATTTTAAGTATTTAAGAAAAATACTGGTGCTCACACTATTCACTTCCTAACAAAAGAGAAGTTGAAATTCATTGTGTCAGAATTGTGTTATAGTGCAGGCTCACTACGAATCCAGTTTAGCAGGTGTCTGGCATGTCTCTCACTCCTGAAATGGCTTTTCTGTATGTGGGCCTTTCTTGAGAAAGCTTTGGATTATTCTTCAGTCTTCCCCATTTTAGATTAAATTTCAGTTTGGCTACTTGGCAATGGAGGCAAAATGTTGGGAGCTCTTAGTGGAGGCAGCTGGGCTCCCTCTTTGGGCTGCTGGAGGGAGGGCATTGTGCTCTCCCAAGACTTGTGCAGAGCTTTGCACTTGAGGCAAGAGCGAGGCTCTGTGAACAAGAGCTGCTGTGTTCCTGCAGTGCCTGCTGACGAGGCAGTGAAGGCAGCCCTTGCCTCAGGTGCCTGCAGCAGGCTGTGTGAGATCCAGAGGGGACACTGCCAGAAGTGCCTTGGGATCATGGGTGAGGGGCTCAGCCCCCAGCACGTGCTGTGTCTGCAGCAGCTGCATGGACGTGCTGCGGGACAACTCACTTGTGCTGATTGCCTCAGAGAAACTTGCTCTGTCTCTTCTTTCCTGAATATCTCCCTGAGTGTGCTG